GACCCGGGTGTGCCCCGTGACTACCCGTAGTTTGCTTCAGAGTCATATTTCAGTCCTGGGTTAGCGCTTTGTAGAGCTGGTGGAACACTCTGATTGTCTGTTACATAATGTAGATGGCAGAAATTTTTCTTTGAAACAGAAGTAGTTTTCAATGTGTGTGATTCTGAATGTCAGTAAAAGTTGGTGCTAAAATGATGCATTTTACAGAGGCTTATTAAGGGCTACTTCATGCCACGCCTGGTTAGAAAGACAAAGGAACGTCGGTGAACAAGGCAGACCAGATACACCCCTGCCTCGCTGAGCATTGAAGAGTCTTGCTAAGGAAGACATTTGAGGATAGATGGGAAGGTGCAGGGGTCAATTCCCGGCAGAGGGGACAGCCAGTGCAAGGGCTGCAGGCCAGTGTGATTGCACTGCCCAGGGCGGCAGTGCATGGAGTGAAGGGTTGGGGTAGGACTGGACGTCAGGTTGCAAGGGGCTGGGCAGAGGGTCTTTATGGGTCATAGGAAGAGGCTGGCTGTGGGGGAGAGCGAGCAGTGTCTCGTTCCCTTCCTAGCAGTAGCAGAAGGCAGCATTTGTGGTTGGTCAGTCTTCCCTCTCGTGCACATCAGGGCAGATGACGAGTCCTGTGGGTGAGCCTGAGTCAGAGAGCATTTGAGTCGAACATAGGTCACGTGGAGCAAATTAACTTCACCAAAAATAACCCCAAAACAGCATTTCTGGGAAACAAGTAAAGACAGCTTTCGATGTAAACAGAGGAGCAAAGTTATGATAAAGGCTTGGTTGGAAAAAGTGAACATTTGGAAAACTAAGAAGAAATGCCTTGGGAAAATGTACCGAGGAAAACAGGTCTTTCTGTTCCAGCAGTTGCCATTTTAAGGAGTTTTCCTTCCTGTCTTGATGTCAGATGCAGTGGTGCCTGTGTTTTGCTAGGGCGACTCATGGGCTTTCCCCTTCCACTTGTGGTTGCGGCAGACAGACCTACAGCCTTTAGCTCTTCCTGCCTGTGTGGGGAAAGGACTTCCTGTTTTCCCTGGGTCTCCTCTGTCCTTGCCAGGAATTGACCGGATGATGGGTGCAGTATAAAACCTGGACTTGGGGTCATGGTGGGTTCTCAGCCTGGCTGCAAATTAGAATCGCCAGAGAGCTTCAGGCACATAACCAAAGAAGCCCCGTTTCCGGAAACTGTGATTTTGAGGGGAAGTGTGGGAGGTCGTCTTCTCAGGGCTTGGGGTTCCAGTGTGCTGTTGAGGCTGAGAAGCACTAATCAGTACTGCTCTCTTCCTCTCCAAGGCTGTGCTCTCCTCTGCTCAGCCCTCCTCTCCCCCTCCACCCGAGCAGGCTGAGAGTTGGGAGGTTGGCTTTCCTTTGGAGCTCTTTGGAGTCTTTTAGGGCAGGCAGGCAATATCTGTGTGCGAGAACGCACTAATCACACGTTTCTTTTGGGGCAAGGAGGTTCACTGCTAGCTAGCAAAGTTGGAACTGCTAATGATGGTTGTCAAGACAGCTCACTCTCAACTGTGCTTGGTGGTATGCACCTGTGGTCCCAGTTACTCGGGAGGCTGAGGTGGATCACTTGAGCCCAGGAGGTCGTAGCTGCCGTGAGCTATGATTGTGCCACTGCATTCCAGCCTGAGTGACAGAAGAGAATCTGTCTCTTTTTTTTTTTGCCATTTTTCCCCCCTGAGATGGAGTCTCTCACCCAGGCTGGAGTTGCAGTGACACGATCTTGGCTCACTTTAACCTCTGCCTCCCGGGTTCAAGCAATTCTCCTGCCTCAGCCTACCGAGTAGCTGGGATTACAGGTGCACGCCACTATGCCCGGCTAGTTTTTGTATTTTTAGTAGAGATGGGGTTTCACTCTTTTGGCCAGGCTCGTCTCAAATTCCTAACCTCATGATCCACCCACCTTGGCCTCCCAAAGTGCTGGGATTACAGGCGTGAGCCTGTAAAAAAAGAAAAGGCAGCTCATTTTTCCTTCTTAGAACTAGGACTTGGAATAGGTACTAAAGCAGCTAAGAGAATGTGGAGGTTCGTGCATCAGGCATCAGTCCAAATTGAATGGGTTCTGTTGTGGTTCTGTTTCTTTTGTTTTTTTGAAGCAGGGTCTCAGTGTCTCCCAGGCTGGAGTGCAGTGGTGCGATCATACCTCACTGCAGCTTCAAACTCCTGGGCTCAAGCAGTTCTCGCACCTTATCCTCCCAAGTAGCTGGGATGGCAGGCGCACGCCACAACACACAGCTACTTTTTGTGTTTTTGTAGAGATGGGGTCTCGATATGTTGCCCAGGCTGATCTTGAACTCCTCGCCTCAAGTGATCCTCCTCTTTTGGCCTCCCAAAGTGCTGGAGTTACAGGTGTGAACCACTGTACCCAGCTGTGTGTGTGTGTGTGTGTGTGTTTCCTTCCTTCTCTTCTTTCCTCCCCTCCCCTCTCCTCCCGGCTTCTGCTTTTTGATGGAGTTTGGCTCTTGTTGCCCAGGCTAGAGTGCAGTGGCGTAGTCTGGGCTTACTGTAAACTCTGCCTCCTGGGTTCAAGTGATTCTCCGGCCTCAGCCTCCTGAGTGGCTGGGATTACAGGCCCACACCACCATGCCTGGCTAATTTTGCATTTTTAATAGAGAGGAGGTTTCACCATGTTGGTCAGGCTGGTCTCGAACTCCTGACCTCAGGTGATCCACCCTCCTCGGCCTCCCAAAGTACTGGGATTACAGGTGTGAGCCACTGTGCCTGGTCTCAGCTGTGTTTCTTATATAGTTAACATGTTACCCTCCTGGGTTGTCTCTCAAAGTGATATTTACTATTTGGAACTAAAAATCTCCTTGTGTACGATTTATATCTTGTATCGGTTCTATTATCTTTAATGGGAAAGGAGTTCATTTCTGGGATCTCCTACCATTGAATAATGAAAGAGACTTTGTTAAATCAGAGAGAAATCAACCAATATAAGTTACAAATATAAATAATCCCAAAAGTGTAATTTTCTTGACAACATGTAATGTTATCCAGAGAATTGACTTTCTGGAGCCATTACTGGATGGCTAGGATTTTTTTTTTCTTTTCTAAAGATTTAAATAGAGACAGGGTCTCGCTGTGTTACCCAGGACAATGTCAGACTCCTGCCTCAGCCTCCCACAGTGCTGGGACTACAGCCGTGAGCCATTGTGCCCGGCCTTATTTTCTCAAGTTACATAAACTTCCCAATCATGGAGCCTTGTGATGAGCTGCTTTTCTCGGAAGGTATCTGTTGGGTTGCGTGGGATCTGTTAGTCCCTCTCCCTACGTGCACAGCCCAGGAGGGCTTCCTGCTGGGGGGCAGGGGATCACGCTGCGGACTTGGGTGTGGCCCCTGCAGCTTGCTGTCTGTGGGATACAGCAGGTGCTGGTCCTGCTGGAGTGGCGCCAGTCTCCACCCTTTCCTCCCAATTCGGCCTCCACCTCTGCTTTCATCCCGTCTGAGGGCAAGACCCCGCCTGCCTGGCCAGGCCTCTGTGAGGCGGGTGCTGGGATCTGTGCTTGCCGGTGAACTTAGGGGATGTCTTTGTCAACTGCCACCTACCGTCCAGGTATGAGATGAAAGAACAAGCGGAGGCTGGAGAGGTCAGGCCGTTTCTCAGGATGCTTGTCTGTCCTACACACTTTCCCATACTGCGGATGAAGCGATGCTTGTTGTCTCTTCCGACGAACTTTAAAATCTACGCCTCTCTCTCATATCCTCTGAAATTGTGAAACACATTCAGACTGTAGAGAAGTTCCAGCAATGGCCATTTTTATTCTTCTAAACCCTATAAGTTATAAATGTATTTTGGCTGTGAAATTGTAAACTACTGATGGAGGGATTAAAGTTATTGCTGCCCTCCTCATCTCACCCCTCTGGGCCCCTTCCAGCTTATTCACACACTCACATCGTCACTCACCCAGGAAACGGGAGGGGTGGGACAAGCCTGGCTAGCCCCTGGATTGTTTCAGCACTTGGTGTGTGTTGGAAGGCCTCCACTTGGTGGTCAGGAGGGCCTCCCCCACCTACAGCTTGCGGGCGGCCTCATCTGCAGGTGCACTGTCTGTGCTTGGTGGGTCTCTGTCGGTGGGGACTGAGGGTGTGCCCTGTTTTCCCTATCACAGACACTACAGCAGTGGGCACACCCTGTCAGATCTTTTTCTCGTGTGTGAGGACTTTGTATGATGAATTTCTGGAAATGGAATTGTGATGTAATTTTAAGATACGCTTTTTCAAACTGTACCCCAAATAGATGCAGTTGTATTCTGTTCTTTGCTGTTGTTTTTAGAGCATTTTATGATTTGTTCAAGATTTATGGGATGAAAGTGTTAAGTCCTGCTGTATAATTAGTTTTATAGGCAACTATTTGATTTGAAGAAATATGAAAGTAAGTTTTTGCCTCAAATAGAAATACATAATTCCACACCACCTTGGCTAACATAGCTTTTTTTTTTTTTTTTCCCTGGAGTCGAGTCTCACTCTGTTGCCCAGGCTGGAGTGCAGTGTCGCCATCTCAGCTCACTGCAGCCTCCACCTCCTGGGTTCTAGTGATCCGTTTCCGCCTCCCAAGGAGCTGGACTGCAGGCACTTGCCACCACACCCGTTGTATTTTTAGTAGAGTTGGGGTATCACCGTGTTGGCCAGGCTGGTCTCGAACTCCTGAACTCAAGAGATCCACCCACCTTAGCCTCCCCAAGTGCTGGGATTACAGATGTGAAGCACCATACCAGGCCTCTTTGGCTAACATGGTTTCTCTGCACCCCAATGAATCCCAGCCATAAGACATATGCTCCTATGTCTGGCTCAAATTATCTGAGCTCTTTTACACTTTCAGTGGAGAGTAGTAGGTAAAATTTTCTTGGGGAAAGCTTATTATTATGCTAGTAGTATGTGTCTTGTAGAAAAATTGAAACCAAGGTAATTACGAAAGACTTAATTAACAAATAAATTGTCCCCTATTAACTCCATGGGAGAAAATAAGATGATTCTGCTTCTGTTCCCGCAGATAACTCCAAGAACTGAGGCCCCTGTCAGCAGCGTCAGTGATAGTTTGGAAAATGCCCTGCACACATCAGCACATTCCACGGAGGAGTCGCTGCCCAAGAGGCCCTTGGGCAAGCACAGCAAAGGTGAGTGCGCACGTGTGCTTCTGGAGGACCCTCGGTGGTTGGAGGGTGGGCATTGTTAAAGGCTTTCAGACCCTTCGTAAATGCTAATCTTATGTGTATTTTTCCAAATTCTATAAGCGGTACGTGAATATACTTTGGCTTTAAAAATCTTGACTACAGATGTTTATTAGGGAGAAATCCAGGTGTGGTGACTCACACCTGTAATCCCAGCACTTTGGGAGGCCGAGGTGGGCAGATCACTTGAGGTCAGGAGTTCGAGACCTGCCTGGACAACATGGTGAAACCCTGTCTCTACTAAAAATACAAAAATAAGCAGGGTGTGGTGGCAGGTGCCTGTAATCCCAGCACTTCGGTAGGCCAAGACTGGTGGATCACCTGAGGTTGGGCGTTGGAGACCAGCATGACCAACTAGTAGAGATGGATAAACCCCATCTCTACTAAAAATACAAAACTAGCCAGGCATGGTGGTACATGCCTGTAATCCTAGCAACTCGGGAGGCTGAGGCAGGCAAATCACTTGAACCCAGGAGATGGAGGTTGCAGTGAGCCAAGGTCACGCCATTGCATTCCAGCCTGGGTGACAGAGCCAGATTCTATCTCAAAAAAAATTTTTTAAAATTAGATGGGCCTGGTGATGCACACCTGTAATCCCAGCTACTTAGGAGGCTGTGGCAGGAGAATTGCTTGAACCCCGGAGGTGGAGGTTGCAGTGAACCAAGATTGTGCCATTACATTTCAGTCTGGGCAACACAGCAAGACTCCCATCTCAAAAAAAAAAAAACAAAAAAACAAAGTGGGGGTGGGAGGAATACGTTTTACCCTCTCCTCCCCACCCCACATGGAAGTCAGCCTTAATCACTAGAGTGGTGGTGTCCTGAAGGGTTCTCTGCAGTGACGGAGTGTTTTCTGTCTGCACCGACTTGGTCGTCACCAGCCACACCTGCCTTCTGCGCACTTGAAACATGGCTAATGTACCTGAGGACCCGAGTCTTTGTTTTTCTCTAACGTAAATGTGGACAGCTCACTGTGGGTGGTGAGGCATGACCTTGAGCCCCTGTGACTCTGCATGTCAGCCTCTGCAGTGTTGTGATCAGCTGCAAAGTTGGTAGGCTTTGGGGAGGGGAGAGCAAGGTGGTTTTAAGACTAGAGGGACGAGGAACGATCCAAGATGGCTGATCGCTAACAACCCGGGATTGCAGCTCTCAGGGAAGGCACGGAGAACTAGAGGACGCCACACTTTCAGACAAATTCTGGTCGCTCACGAAGCAGAAGATCCCCCAGTGGAGGAAACACACGGGTGGCCAGCGCGACTCTCGTGGCCGGCGCAGCTGTTCCGCCGGCACCTCGGCGCGGTAGCTCTCGGAGCAGAGTAAACAGGTTCGGAGGACCCACCCGCACGGGTCCCCAGCAGGACACCAGAGCCCGGCACAGCGGCTGCGACGGCACCTTGGCAGCACTCGGCGCAGTGTAAACGGGACTGGTTCCCCTTCTGACCGAGGTTTGGAGCCCCAGGAAGGCAGAGTCGCCTACTACGGACACAAGAAGGAAGCCAGACAGGAGAATCCTGGGCAGAAAAGCACCATCAGTTTTAACGCCGCTGCTCTGGCCCTGGGAACTAACAACCTGGAGGTCCACTCAAGAGACCTAATCTGAAAGTTGGTAATTTCAAAGGCAACAGGAGGATAAATTTACAATGATGGGAAGAAACCAGCGTAAAAAAGCTGAGAATACTCAAAGTCAGAACGCCTCTCCCTCTAAAGATGATCACAGTTCCACATCGACAATGGAACAAGGCTTGATGGAGAACGAACGCCTTTTGATGACAGAATCACTCTTCAAGGAATGGATAATAACAAACTTCGGTGAGTTAAAAGAACATGTTGTAGCCCAACATAAAGAAACTAGGAACTTTGAAAAAAGGTTTGATGAAATCCTGTTGAGAATAGACAACTTAGAGAGGAGTATGAGTGAAATAATGGAACTGAAGAATACAATACAGGAACTCCGAGAAGTATGCACAGGTTTAAACACTTGAATTGTTCAAGCAGAAGAGGGGATATCAGAGGTCAAAGTCCAACTTAATGAAATAAAACGTGAAGAAAAGATTAGAGAAAAAAGGATAAAAAGAAATGAGCAAAGTCTCCAAGGAATGTGGGACTATGTGAAAAGACCAAATTTACGTTTGATAGGTGTACCTGAATGTGACGGAGAGAATGAATCCAAGCTGGAAAATACCCTTCAGGATATTATTCAGGAAAATTTTCCTAAACTAGCAAAGCAGGTCAACACTGAACCCCAGGTAATACAGAGAACACCACAGAGATATTCCTCAAGAAGAGCAACCCCAAGGCACATAATCATTAGATTCACCAGGGTTGAAACAAAGGAGAAAATACTAAGGGCAGCCAGAGAGAGAGGTCAGGTTACCCACAAAGGCAAGCCTATCAGACTTACAGCAGATCTCTCAGCAGAAACTCTACAAGCTAGAAGAGAGTGGGGGCCAATATTCAACATCCTCAAAGAACAGAACCTTCAGCCCAGAATTTCATATCCAGCCAAGCTAAGCTTCACAACTGAAGGAAAAATAAAATCTTTTATGAACAAGCAAGAACTCAGAGATTTTATTACCACCAGGCCTGCTTTACAAGAGCTTCTGAAAGAAGCATTACACACAGAAAGAAACAACCAGTATTAGCCTTTCTAAAAATACACCAAAAAGTAAAGAGCACCAACATAAAGAAGAATTTACACCAACGAATGGATAAAACAGCCAGTCAACATCCAATGGCAGTAACCCTAAATTTAAATTGACTAAATCCCCCAATCAAAAGACACAGCCAAAACCCAATGGCATGTTACATCCAGACCTGTTTCACAGGCAAGGATACACAAAGACTCAAAACAAAGGGATGGAGAAAGATTTACCAACCAAATGGAGAGCAAAAATAAATAATAAATAAATAAAAAGCAGGAGTTGCAATTCTCGTATCAGATAAAATAGATTTTAAAGCAACAAAGATATAGTGGTAAAAGGATCAATGCAACAACAAGAGCTAACGATCCTAACACCCAGATACGAGACTTAGATTCAATGAGACAGAAAATTAATAAGGATATCAAGGACTCGAACTCAGATCCGGAACAAGTAAACTTAATAAATATTTATAGAGCTCTCCACTTCAAATACACAAAATATACATTCTTGTCAATACCACATCACACCTACCCATAAGTTTAAATGAAACATTGATTGGCCATTATTAATACCCAATTTTTTTCAAAATAAAGCAATATTTCCATTTACTCTCCCTCTTTTTCTTCCTCTTTCTTCCTCTCCTTTACTTATTTTTTTTTTTCTTTCCTTCTCTCAAAAAAAAAGAAATCAACTTGTAAACCTCTAGATCCAGGTCGGCAATGTCTCTTTCATTGCTTGATTTCCTTCCTTCCCTTCCCTCCCTCCCTCCCCGCTTCCTCCCTTCCTTCCTTCCCTCATCCCTTCCTTCCTCCCTACCGTCCTTCTTCCCGCCCTTCCTGCCTTCCTCCCCCCCCAAAAAAAAAAAAAAAAAAAAAAAGACTAGAGGGACTAGATAATGCGTTCCCAGTGAAATCAATGCTGGTGAGTTTTGCAGAGTCGTCAGTAGTGGGGAGAGAGGGACCAGGGTGGTGCTTTCCAATGGGGTCACTTGCCCTGAGGCCCGATGGTATGGAGGCACCGGGGCCGGCTGTGTCCGCATCTGCTGGCCTCTTCTCTGTGTTATTTACGAAGAAATTTGTCTCCTAGCAGGTGCGCCACGTGAGGCCCAGAGCCACACTCGCCTCACCTGTGCGCTTGCCCCTGTCCCTCGTCTCTGGCGCGACGCTTCGTGCCTTCCGCAGGCTTCATAACTGCTTTGTTTCTTAAGTCCCATTCTCACAAAGCCATGGAGAGCCACCTGTCTCTTTAGATCGTAACTGAGGAAGGACCCAGTTCCCCAGCAGCTGCGGCCTGTGTTCCTGTGTGTGAGTACAGTATGGTATGGAGACTTGTACTGCCACCCTGCGAGGGCTCCTGTCCCCACTTGATCCTCGCAGCAACCCGCCAAGGTCGCACCAGTTTTTGTCTTATCCGCTTCTCTTGGGAGAGTCTGTGGCTCTTGGTTGAGCATCTTTACCATGACCTCATCCTGAAGACACCGACACCGCGGTCCTATGACTCCAGAGTGGACACTTGGCACCGGAATTACAGGGAGTCCATCCGCTGCAGAAAGGCTCCTCCTCTTCCTTCCCCACGCCATCCCAGGAGAAGGGCCTCCCCTGGAAGGCCACTTCCTTTGTCCCCAGGCAGTCCAGCCCAGGAACCTGGGCCCTGCACACCCTGTGAATCTTAAGGGACTATTGCTTTTTTTTTCAAGATGTCATTATTGACACCCCCATTCTTTTTTTTTTTTCTGTATAATTTCAAAATAGTATCTGTCATTGTCTCGTCTGCATGCTTTGGTCCCCAGAGAGAAACAGAGGATGAGCTGACTCTCATGTGAGCTGTGGCAAAGCTAGCATAGGCCGGTGGGTCGGCTCTGAGGCCACGAGCAGCCATTCTCATTTGAAGTGCCACTGTGCTTCAGATACCACCGCAAGCAGATGCTCATGATTGTCGGCAGCGTTCTCCATTGATTGGCCATAGAGAGTCATGGTTTCTTTGTTCAGAAATTGGCGAGCGAGTTAACTTCGTTTTATTAGTCACTTTCCTTGCGAATCCTTGTAATATTCTGTCGGGTATAGGTTATTGCTCTTCAGAAAGTCCAAAGGCCCTCTAAGTTGTATACTTTTATTACTGTAAAATTTTCCATCTGTCTTTTCTGTATCCTGCTTCTGTTTTGATTTTTCTCTGCTTCTTCAGAAGTCTTACAGTGATACAATTTAGCTTATAGAATGGTCAGACATTTAAAAGATTTCTTACTATGTGAAAGCTCAGGGAATAGCAGTCCAAGCACATGACAGATAGTACCCTCTATAATCCTCAG